CTTTAGAAGTCTGTTCTCAATTAATTATTCTCTATTATTTGTCCTTTCTAGCTGCTTTCCTTTTTCTTTAATATCATGCAATTTCCCTAAACTTTGTTTAAATATGAGTTTTTTTCTATTTATTCTGCTTCGTGGATTAGAGAAATATGTTTTTTTCCCCTCTATCTTTTGATTCATTAATTTGATCAGTTCTAAAGTTCTTAGCCATTATTTCTTCAGTATCCTCTCCCCTCCATCTTCTTTATTTTATTCTTCTGAGCTCTTGGAGATAAGCTTGACCTTTTCATCTTCTCACGTATCATTTAACTTCTTTTTATATCATCTATTTTCTTATCTCTTTATGCTGTATTCTGGGGACTTTCTTCAGATCTATTAATTAATTTTCCCTTATCTTGTTTAATCAGCTATTTAACCCATCCACTGAGTTAAAATTTCCACAAATATATTTTTCATTTATCAAATTTAAATTTGATGCTTTATTAAATATGTCATTTTTATAGTCTCATGTTGTTAATTCATTTTTTAAATCCTAACTTTCATGTTTTTAAATATTTCATACATAATTTTTATATGTTCTAAATTGGATGATTCTAATATAAAATTCTTGATGGTCTGAAATATGTTCTACATTATTTTTGCTTTCTTTTGGTCAGGGTGCTTTTTTTATTTTTTGAGTTTCTTTTTATGTCCCTTAATTAGAAGTGCATATTTGTTTGATCTTATTCCATGGGCATCCCTAGGACTTAAATAGGTGATATTTTCCACCAAAAGTTTGGATGATAGGAACCTGAGGGCTTTATGGGATATTATAGACCAAGGAAACTTTATCTTTTTTCAAGGCTGCCTGGTGGTTAAGAGCTCGGCTGCTCCAAAATGTCAACAGTTCAAATCCACCAGCTGCTCCTTGGAAACCCTATGGGGCAGTTCTCCTCTGTCCTGTAGGGTCACTATGAGTTGGAATTGACTCGATGGCAATGATTTTTTGGTTTGGTGTCTTAATGCACCAGGAGCCCTGGTGGCACAGTGGTTAAAGCACTTGACTCCTTCCTAACCGAAAGGTCAGTGGTTCAAACCTACCAGCTGCTCTGTGGGAGAAAGATGTGGCAGTCTGCTTCTATAAAGATTTACATCCTTGGAAACACTATGGGGCAGTTCTACTCTGTCCTTATAGGGTCACTATGAGTCAGAATTGACTCAACAGCAGTGGGTTTGATTTTGGTTTTGCCATAATGTGGGGAGGTTAGATTTATCTCCCACATCTTCTGCTGTTAGATTCTGGCATTTGTTGTCAAGACAAACCCTACTTTTTTTACTTTGCTCATTGTATACTGCTCCTTCTCTGTTTGTAGCACACAGTTTTTGCTTTGCTTTGTTTTGGAGGAGAGACCATGGAAAGATACCCTTGAAGATTTTTCTTATTTCCTTCAAATACTATTACTGCTTTTCTCCCAAGATCTACTTGTTTTGTAGCAGAAAGACCCTTCAGAGTCTCTAGGGAAAACCAACTCCAGTATTTTATCTTAAACATTAGGGTATTTTAGAAAACTGTTCATTGAGAATAGGAATGCAGGAGGAAGACATTTGTGGATAATAATATGGCAAGTTTCATTTTATACTTACTGAATTTGAGATGTCGATGATATCCATATGCATATGCCAACTTAATAAGTGAATATTTGGACCTGAAATTCAAGAGGTAAGTTTGGACTAACGGTATAGATTTAGGAGCAATCAACATAAATATGTTAATTGAAATCATGGATGTAGAGATTACTCGGTGAAAATGCATGTTTTGAAAATAAAGGTAAGGAAAGAACCATAAGAACCGCCAACACTCGATAGACAAAAAAAGAAAACGGAGAAGTTGTTAGAGAGGTATCAGAAAAGTAATGAGAGTGTGTATCATAGAAACTAAAGTAAGAGAGTGGTCAACTGTGCCAAATGCAGATGAGGTATCGATAATAGACCATAGAAAATTTAGTAATTAAGGAGATCTGTGGAAATATTGATATGAGAAATTTCAAATAAGTTGAATAGAGTAGAAATAAGATTGTCATGGATGGGAAAGGTGGGAGTCTGAGAGGACCAGTGCTCTGAGGACCTGAGAGGACCTGGAACTATGGCTGTGAATGGAAGGAAAAGTAAAACAATGTCAGGATACGTTGTGGAGCAGAGGGAGGAATGAGTTTTTAAAATAAGATTGAACACACTTAATCATGTTCAGGGCTGATGGAAACAAGCAAGAAGAGAATTAGGGATTGAAAATATTTTTTGAATAGAAAGGATGTGATCAAACGAGCAAGTTCAGAATTCCTGGGAAAGTGGATGAGGTTGGGCCAGAGTACAGCTTGAGGAAATAGCTATAATGGACAGATGCCACATGTATCATAATGGAAGGGAAGAAGGATAGGATAAGTATAGATTCAAGTAAGTATGACTTGATAAAAACAAGTTTCTGATGACTTCTGTCTCCCTTTTTTAATTTTATTCTGCTTTACATGAAGTTTACAGCACAAATTAGTTTCTCATTCAAAAATTTATACACAAGTTGTTTTGTGTCACTGGTTGCAGTTCCAAAATTGTGTCAGCACTCTACCCCTTTCTATTTACACCCAGGTTTCCCATGTCCATTCATCCAGTTTTCTTGTCCCTTCCTGCCTTCTTATCTTTGCTTTTGAGCAAGTGTTACCCATTTGGTCTCGTATTTGATTGAACTAAGAAGCACGTTCCTCGAGTATGTTATTGTTTGTTTTATAGGCCTGTCTAATCTTTGACTGTAAAGTGGACTTCGGAAGTGGCTCCAGTTCTGAGTTAAGCAGGGTGTCCCGGAGCCATAGTCTCAGGGGTTCCTCCAATCTCTGTCAGACCAGTAAGTCTGGAGTTGGCTTCTCTTTTATCAAGGAAATAGGTGAGGTCATGGGGTAATGTTAAGGATTGTAGCTTTAAGCAAAAAAGTGCAGTGGAGGTACAATGGTTAAGCTTTAGGCTGCTAATTGAAAGATCAGTGGTTTGAACCCACCAGCAGCTCTGCAGGAGAAAAGACACTGCAATCTGCTTCTCTATTACAGCCTAGGAAACCCTATGGGACAGTTCTACTCTGTCCTATAGGGTCTCTATGAGTCCGAATCACCTCGATAGCACAGAACAACAACAGCTTTAAGCAAAGTGGAGAGTTTCAAATTGCTGCTGAGGATAATGAAAGAGCTGATTAGCAAAATACAGTAGTATTTATTGTCAAGCAGCATGGCCCAGCTGAGGATGCAGGTGATAAATTTGAAGAGCTCTCCGTGGGAGGGCTGTGTACTTTTTCTCCAGCTGTGCCTGGCCTTGGAGCAGGCATGGAAAAAGCAGTTTTTTACTATAGTCAAGATTAGGAATTTTCTGAAAAGGTGTTGTGGGGAAAACAAACAGGGCAATATGCTTGAAACTATTGAAAAGAGAGGTTGAGGTGATAAAAAAAAAAAGACTAAAGAAGAAAATCATTGTACTTGAACTTTCTATGTAGTCAAAGGATAAGAAGAATCTAAGTAAACAAATACAGAGATAGACTGAAAATAGAGTAAATGAAATATTATTTCAGACCAAAATCATTTTCAGCTGAAGATAAGGTCCATGATGTGGGAATGATGAGTAAAGTGGAGTCTGGAGAGGAGCTCCTTAGATTGTCGGAGCTGATAAGATGCAGGGGCTCAAGGTTAAGTGACTGAATGGGCCCCTAAATTCTATAGTCAAGAATAAAGCTATATCCTGACCAATTAAGAAAAAGGAAATTGCTTCAGGAACTCTTCAGGAACCAGTAAAAAAGATACATAATACTTCGCTAATGACAAGAGAAATTTAAGAAAGTTATTTATTTAATAAATAATTTTTAAAGATGGGATGAGTAACATACATGTGAAGAATAGTTATTTTCCACTCAAAGTCTACCAGAGAGCTAGGGATCCTTTAAAGCACAAAAAACTGAACACCCGCTACAAAACTATAAAAGTTTGGATGTTGAAGATCGTTCCTGGCGAAGGTTATAGGATTTACTTGTGAGGTTTTAGATTTAAAAAAATATATGTGCTGTTCCCTGGTGTCCTCAAGAATAGCTCTGCTAGGGAGAAGAGAGATAGACTAAGTGATTATGTAAGTGCTGTTCAATCTTTCCTTCTATGGTTTTGAGTATTCATAAAAGAAAACAAAATTTTAAATACCCAGTTAGCCTATGGTAGATTACTTTTGAACAATAAAGTTACATGGAGCACTTACAAGATTTTTAGGATTTAGCATTATCAGGTTAGTATGTAAGAATATGCTCTTTATTCACATACCTAAGCATGATTTTGGAAACCCTGGTGGTGTAGTGGCTAAGTGCTACGGCTGTTAACCAAAAGGTTGGCAGTTTGAATCCACCAGGCACTCCTTGGAAACTCTATAGGGTGGTTCTACTGTGTCCTGTAGGGTTGCTATGAGTTGAAATCAACTCGACCAATGGGTTTGGTTTTTTGTTTTATTTTATTTTTTTGGAAGCATGATTTAAACCTTGTCTTTATGCACATATTTTTATTCTAACATAACTTTTTTGACATCGCATCTTTTATAAATATATTGATATAAAATTTAAGGCAAGATAAACACTAACATGAAAGAGTAAAAGCAGAAATGGTGAAATCCAAATATCTGAAACTAGAAATGATGTGTTACATCCAAATTTTTCCCTTGCCTATAATATATACTTTGTAAATTAGCAAAATCTATAAATAAGAAAGTGGTGCAGTGGTTAAGAGCTCAGGCTGCTAAACCAAAAGGTCGACAGTTTGAATCCATCAGCTGCTTCTTGGAAACCCTATGGGGAAATTCTGCTTGTCCTATAGGGTCGCTATGAGTCGGAATCTACTCAACAGCAATGAGGTTAATCTTGATCTTTTGTGTTTTACGGCCCAACTTCTTTGATGTAATTTTAAAATATATGTATGTGATGATTCTTAAATTATATTCTTTTTTGTTTTGCTTGCTAGTCAAAAGAGAAGATGTGTGAGGACACAGAGCCAGTGGAAACTTCTTCTCAAACCACCACAACTGTAAGAGCGACAACCACACAGTTCAGGGTCTTAACCACCACCAGAAGAGCAACAACATCACAGCTGCCAACCAGCCTGCCCACAGAAGGTGCGCTGGAGATGGTTTTGTTTTTTGGGATTGGGGAGAAAAAATCACTGTGTTGACATGTACTACAGTAGCTCTCTAAAGGGAAAGTTATTCTTTGACAAATTGTATTTCTAAGGGATTTCTTAAGGGGAGAAGTCAAAATTATTATAGAATAAAAACATATGCTGGGTTTCTTTTAATATACTTTGCCTGTTATTAAGACTTAGCTTTTAACAGTGATTCTGCTGCTTATCCTCCCTAGCAGATAAATACAGATTTCTCTTAATGTTGCTAAACTTTGCAGTAACTGAATTCAACATTTTGGTCACGGGATGGAAAAGCAAAAGGCATGTAAAATGTCCACTGATTTTGGATTCTGAACAATAAATAATTCTACTCATATATAATTCTAATATTTTCCTAAATGTAGTCAATGAAATATGTTGGTTCATAACCTACAGAGGGGCACTGTATATGTCACGGATGGTCCTTGAAAAATAGTTCCTCTTCTAGAGAAGGCAAAAATACTAGCCAGCCTTAATGCAAGGGCACAACTCACAGGGAGAAGGGAGAAGGGAGAAGAAAGTGGGATATTAGCCAACATTTGTTAGCCGTCTATTCTGATGTTCTTTTAGTACACTTCCCTGAATGGTATCACTAAGGAGTGGGTAAAAATAAGAGACTAGTTTGCCATGAGTGAGTCTTAAAGCGGGGAAAATGGCCTTATTTAGTCATTAGAATACGAAACTAAATTAAAATTTGAAATTTTACTTTTAATTGAAATTTAATTAACTATTAGAAGTTAACTGGAATAAAGTAAATTAGAGGGTAGCTGCTAAATGTATTTTATGATTTTGAAGGCAATGTTATATTTTCATCTATGTTATTATGGATTATTAGGTTAATGCCTATGAAAATATTTCTGTAATTTTAATCTTACTCTTTAGAATGAAATATAACCACCGCAATAAAAAAGCAGATCCTACATTTTGTTTAGGAAGGACAAGATTTTTTCACATGTGATTTTGGTCATATTTGTTAGTATTGAAAATAAGCATTGAACTTTTGAAGTTAAATTTGTAAATATTGACAAATCTTTACTATTCCAATTAATTTGCCATCTTCTCAGTCTTAGTTTTATAAATAATAAATAAGGCCATAACTATAAGGTTTAATTACAGTAAGTTGTTTTAGAAATTAAAAGTAAGTATATTTGAAGTTACAATTATAATTGTTTATTTTCCTCACAAATCTTAGGAATCATATAATACTTTTGAAGTAGTAAGCCTTGATAATACAATCACAGTAGAAATTTTAGTACTGCATCGTGTAAAGGTAGGACTTACTGTCATTGAGTATAAATTAACTCAACAAAATATTGAAGCCTAGTCATGTTACAGTTAAGGCAGTTAGTAGAAAGTTACTGGTCGTGAGATTTATGCATCTTTAAAGTTTTTTTCTGTGATACTAACTTTGAATTTTTCTTCCAGATGATACCAAGATTGCACTACATCTGAAAGATAATGGAGGTAGGAATTCACACATTTCTTTTGTAAATGTTTTTGAGATACTAATCCATTTCATTCATTTAAATATGAACAAGGACTTATGAGCTTCTAAGTATAGAGTGTGGGTTATTATTTCAGTACTCGTTGGTATTTAACAGAGGAAGGATTCAATGGGTTGGCTTGAAAAGATGAATGAAATAGTTTCATTAGTGGAGTGAAATTCTAATCCTGTGTTTGCCTATAAAACTGCATGATGCCAATTACCACGCATTTATTTATCCATACATCTTGCTGTTCCTTGTTGCTCTAGTTCTTGTTTTAATTGTACGCATGGTTATCTACAGTTATGGTTATTGGGTTCAACTTTTTTCACTAAGTTGTTTGGTTGTTCAACATCGTGTATACATAAAATTGAATAAATATAGCGGTAAGTCTGAATATATTGTACTAGGCCTTTTTGTCTCTTATATGAAGCATACTACAAAAATACTCAAAAGAACATCTAGTTAGTGGCACATTTAAAGTTTTTCTAATACAACTTAGAAATATCTATAATGGTACTTAAAACTTTGAGAAAAAAAATTTTACCAAAAAAAAAAAAAAAATGCTGTGAAAGGTTTTGGCTAAATTTTAAAAGCAGTTATTTTCCTATTGAACTGTGTTAGTCCTAGACGCTTCTCTGTCATAATATGCTGTACCTTGATAGAAGAGATTTTTATTAGTGATTGTTTATTCAGCTCGGGAAGGGGGTCTCACCCTGTTAACATCATCTATTATGTAAATATGGGCACACTTGATAATGATTTTTACTTTTGCATCCACAGATGATTTCTTGAGTAAGGTCAAAATTCAATATATGCACTGTTAGAGATTTTTTTATATATGTAGTTGTAGAGAATAGTTCCTGAATTACTCAGTCTAGGTTAAGTAATTAATACTTCTATGCTTTCTCAGGTCACTGTAAATA